TTTTTTTTTTTTTTTTGCGCGCGCGTGTGTGTGTGCTCCAATGGACCATGGATCAGATACTAAACTGATAGGAAGTTTTCAGAACATGTACTGCACTTAAACAACCAGTACTTGGTCCAGCTATCGACCGCGGAAAAAAATAGAGTAGAAACGTTTCTACTAGGATGAATTTGGGCAATCCTGTAGTGGCCCGTACGTTTCATAAAATCATGGCTCGTTATCGGGCACAACTTTAGGAAGTACTGGTGGCTTAAGAAAAGGTTGGAATTGAACAACTATGTATTGCTCAGTGTTCTCAACTAACACAAAAACAAAAAAAACAAAAAAAGAGGATTTTTTTTGGGGGGAAGCAAGAAAGATACTTGAGGAATTGTTCAAGGAAGAGAGATGGTTGAGGAAGGCGGACAGAGAGAGGAGGGGGGGGGAGGAGGAAAAGAGAGGAGCATTATTCACTTGATGATTTGCACTGTTGATAAACAACATTCCCTGGTTACAGGAGAAATGCGATTCGAACCCTTGACATATGGTTTTCGAAATTTCAATATCATTCTTCGATCATGCGAGCAAAATACTTCATCAATTCTGCTTGATTGACACTAAAGCTCTCTCTCTCTCTCTCTCTCTCTCTCTCTCTCTCTCTCTCTCTCTCTCACACACACACACACACACACACACACACACACACACAAACTGATATTATCTATCATTTCATTTCTTCCTCTTGTTCTAAGTATTTTCTACATCTTGTCCACTTTGTGTGCCCTCGTCTTTTTCTGTGTTTCCCTCTGTGTTTACATGAGCGCCTCTAAGACGTACCAAATAGCCAGGGCCTGTTTGTACACAATGCCTCCAAAAGTACAGTCTTAACCCGAAAACAACGCCCAGGCATTATACTCAACTTACCAAACGGTCTTACGCCCAGTCAAAAGTACGGTCTTACTTCCTTCCTACTTGACTTTTCTGCTTGCCTGCGTGGCCACTCACGGTGCCACCTGCCTGGCTGTTCACTTGCAACAGGGGTTGAAGTAGATTGGTAACTTTAGAGGGGCTTCTGCAGATAGCCTCCTGATGAGTCGGTGAGAGTTCGACGAAACGAGCATTTGCTTGTTCTTCTGGCAACCCATGTCATCCGTAGGGTGCGTTCGCTGACGTATTCATGTTGAGAAAATCAGTGACTTATGCGTAATACTGCACTAGGCTGGTAACCCTTGAAATGCATCTTTGGAGGTTTGCATTGAGCCTCCGCCGCCACAGAAGCCATGTCTTGAAGCGAAGCTTGACCACTGGGGACTCTCTCTCTCTCTCTCTCTCTCTCTCTCTCTCTCTCTCCCCCTCCCTCTAAGAGAGGGTCTTCTCTCTCTCTCTCTCTCTCTCTCTCTCTCTCTCTCTCTCACACACACACACACGCACACACAACACACACATGCAATCAATTGCAGTGCTACATGCAGGCTGTATACTAATTTTGTCCCTGTCGTCATTGTCAGGACTCGATCCCGCAACCTTTGTCTGCTGTGTTGCCTGTTTGTTTGCTGTTCGTTTGTTTTAAGCCTTGCGGGACTTGATCCGGTGACCTGTAACCTGTGTGTTTTGTTTGTCAGTGTTGAGCCCTATGGGACTTGATCCCTGAGTCTGTTACTAGTAGTCTCTGTTTGGTAGTCCTAGGCCATTCGGCCTTTTCCTTTTGCCTTGTCATAGGTGTCGCATACCGTAACAGTGCAGACAAGAACAAGAACCGACCTCTCTCACATAGTACAAGATAGGGCAGCAGAAGGCTAAAATACCAATGATCAGACCAATCAATGTCGAACTGCAGACCAAGCATACAGCATCATCATCGCATGGTGTGAAAGGGGCTGGCGCTCAAACAGGAAGAATGCAGTCCCATACATACACAGACGAGGAGGAGGGGGATCAGACGAAGAAGAGGGGGAAGATGGGAATGTCGTCAACACCAAGTCTTCGGTACAGGTCCCAAATAAACCCTCGTCCAATGTCTCAATCCCAATGTCGAGTCTGAATCCAAATGTCGTCAAGTCCCAAGGTCACCAATCTCTTTCACTCTCTCTCTCTCTCTCGTAGTCTGCAGATACTGAGAAGTCAGGTGGTGAGAGGGTCAGGAAAAGATGGTGGACTTAGTGGAGGAAAAAGAAAACTCTCTCTCTCTCCCTCTCGTACCAAGTACTAACCTGTGAAGGTGGCGCCTTGTTGCAGGTACATCGAAGACGAAGCTGGAGCTATGGCGCCACAGGTAAGTCTCCCTGGCCTCCGCCCTTCTCTCTCTTTCCTAACGCTACTCTACCTCCTAGCAGCACCCAGTGCTGAAGACTACTCTAGCGCTACTACTGCAGCGCTCCAGAGTGCTGCGGTCAGCTCCTGAAGACTGCCTCCTGCCTCCTGCACGTGAACTGCCCGTGAACTGCCTGGGAAAATCCCTAGCAACTACCTACCTCGTGACTACCTGCAGCCTGCCAGTACTATATAGTGATGGCCTGTCCGGGAGGCTGCTCTTGCCAATGCCAAAACGTGCCAGACCCTGGCGCTGAAGTCCAAACAAAGGTTGTCTTGAAAACAGGCCCAAAATGGTATGGGCTAAAACCCTGGTTTGGTGCCTAAGTTTCAGGGTAGGTCGACTTTATGACGGCCTGAAAAAGGCTCGTTTTAGGCTTTTAGGCTGAAACAACACAGGGCCTGTAGGCAGTGTAGGGCCCTTATTTTCTGTCTGGTCGGGCCCTGCAGGTCCGTGTGGCTGCGCAGTATGCCACACCCCCCCCTCCTTGAAAGACCGAGCTTACCTGCGGGCGAAGCTGCCTGTCTGAGGGAGGGACCAAAGTCTGGGTGGGAGGGGCAGGTCGTGAAACGTCCTTAGCTAACCTTTGTCGTTCATAGTGAGCGTAGATTGCTGCCGTACTTGCGATCAGTGATGACGCGGTCGACTTCCTGATGACCATCCATGGACGGAGGGTCCTGCGATCGTCGGCCCGGGAAATCGTCGCTCTTAGCTGGTGTGTATGTTGCCAGCTTCGAGGCATGAAAGACTGGGTGGACCGGCAAATGAGGAGGGATGTCGATCACAAAGGATGGGCCGTCAGGCTCGTCGCCTGCGGCTGAAAGGACGGTCCATGGTCCAAACCATTTGGGGAGTAGTTTGGGCGAAACATCCTGTTCGAGCACAAACTCTTCCGCGGAGACCCAAACCAGATCGCCGGCGCGGATGGGACATGGCACGCAACGTCTGTTGGCTTGCTGCTGCATGCAGCCTTGAGCCTTTTGCATGTTTGCGTGGGCTTGAGTCAGCAATTCCCTGTACTTCCGGACGGAGGCGGGAGAGCAAGCGGCGTCTATGTCGGCTGTTCGTGGAAGGAGAAGATCAGCGGAGATACGGCCTTTCCGGCCACCGTGCTGCAACTCGAATGGAGTCACGCCGGATGCAACGAAGTGTTGTAGGCGAACTCGATGTCGAGGAGGCGGTCAACCCAATCCTTCTGATCTGGACGGATGAGCGTACGAAGCATCATTTGAGCGGTTTGATGTGCCCGCTCCATTTGCTCGTCCGTTTGTGGATGTCGAGCCGAACTTGGTTTCATCTTGGTGCCGGATTCCTGCATGAGAGAAGTCTAGAATGCCGACATGAAACGAGTGTCACGGTCACTGACGATGTCTTCTGCTACGCCGTGGCTGCAAATCCAGCCGGTGTGCAAGAGGCGCGCAAGTTCGGGAGCCGTGGCGTAGTACTTGCATGCAGGGCGAAGTACAAGGGGACGAAATCAATGCACCTGTCGATTGACTTGTGCATGTGACCGTCGTGGCGTAGTACTTGCATGCAGGGCGAAGTACAAGGGGACTAAATCAATGCACCTGTCGATTGACTTGTGCATGTGACCGTCGGCCAACGTGACTTTTGTGGGCTGCGACTTCCTCCAAACGTGTGGCCCAAGGCCAGCACGTACCATAAAATCTTGGCTGATATAGTTGCGAGTAGCTCCGCAATCGATCAAAGCGCTGCAGGTCGCTTCTTCGATCTGAATGCGTATGTACAACAATGGCGTGTCGATGTCGTCGTACCGTTGTGTTTTGAACTCGCGATCGATTTTCGCAACGTAGCCGTGAAGGTCAACAACTTCTACTCCGGCGTCCATCAACGGAGCTGGTACTGCAGTGTGCAAGTAACCCCGCAGTTGTGCCATGAGCATTTTGCAATGCAGTTTCGGCAATCGACCCGTCGGGGGAAGGGGCATCCATTGGAAGTCCGCGAACGTAAACGGGTCGAATTCTTCGAGTCTTGACCATGACGTCGAATCCCCGACAAATAGTTGGCAGCGAAGCTGTCGAATCGGTTGTCGATGGTGGTGAAACCATGCATGCGGTGGATTGTTGCACGTGGAGTCGCTGGTCCAACAGTGGTACCAAGTGGACAGAGTAATCCTCGTAAGTGAACCGAGGACTCGCAACATCCGCATTCTCCCCAGACGTGTAGGAGGCCGCTAGCAAGGCGGCCGAATCTGGCAAAGTGAGTGGTGGAGTCGCCTCACCTCCCGCGCAACTCAGTTTCCCGGGTTGATGCCAGGTCAAACATCCTCCTTGCCATGATCTTGGCATTGGGAGGTCTTGTGCTTGGTGCTGTTGCACCAATAGCAGCAGCCATACCGGTTGTGCCACTTGTATTTGGCCTCGGTCAAGTTAAACTTGACCCATGGTACTGGCTATCCGTTTTCGGTCGGCGATGCGGTTTTCACCTTTCCCTTTTCCACGGGAGTTGTTGTTGCTTCGCGGCTGGACAGCACCCACCTGATCTCCCTCACGTGATGCTTGAGTGGCTGTCGGGTCTTCCACAATGTTGTCCGGTTGGACTTCAGCAACGGGCTGCGAACACGGACCAAATCTTCCTTTCTCCACATGGGCTGGCTGCCACGCTGACTTCTCGTGTGCAGCAGTCCGGTTGGTCTTGATGATCTCTCGCGCCTTGTCGATGATTTCGGCGAAGGTTGTGTACTGCTCGCTGTCGGGGCAGAAACCCTGACAAGGGTATCTGCCCGATGTTTTTAAATGTCGGACGATGTCCGACTTAGTAAATGATTATTCGGGCTTCATAACTTGATGAGATGGGTTATCTGCCATAAGTCTATTCGAACTTGACCTATGACTGAGAGACTAAAAGTTTTCGGACTTCAGTCCGAACACGTGTGGCGTCCGATAGTGATGGCACTAAGCAGTCGTGCCTCGCCTTTGGCGAAGCCACAGGAAGGTGCAGACATAGGAACGGTAAAACTAAACCTACTCTACCTAACATAGTGTCGCGCAGCTGCTAAGCCGCGCGATTCAGGGTCTAAGTAAGCTAAAAAGGGGGATGCGTCGGGTATAGGGCTGCGGCGCAGGAGGAATAGGAAGTTTTTTCTCTGGGCCGCAGGGGTTGACACCGAGCCAAGGGGTCACCAGGCCGATGCCGAGGTCGCACGGCCTACTGACGGGGTAAGGCCTACCGGCAGGGCCTGAAAGGCCATGGGCAGGCAAGGCCTGCAGGGCCACAGGCAGGCAGGCCGGGTCTGCGAGGCCACAGGCAGGCGGGGTCAGCAAAGCCCCGGTATGGGGGATAGTGACTAGGCCACCTCTTCTTATAGAAGTGCTGCTCCCATCACCATCGTGATAGGAGCTAGCAGGGCCGCAGGCAGGCCGGGCCTGCGAGGCCACAAGCAGGCAGGGTCAGCAAAGCCCCGGTATGGGGGATAGTGGCTGGGCCAGCTCTTCTTATAGAAGAGCTGCTCCCATCACCATTGTGATAGGAGCTAGCCCAGTAGGATACAGCGTAGGATTTTCACCCAGCAGACACCGGGATCGAATCCGACATGCTGCACCACTGGGCTGGCTCCTTTTGGAGCCGGCCACCTTGTTGTCGGCGCGGTCGATTTCGACCATCGATCGCAAAGATCGCATGGTCGAGATCGGCCGCGCGAAGATCAGCATGGCCCCTGCGCTTTCAAGGATGACACGCATAAATCGTAAGAGGGAAAAAAAAAAAAAAAAAAAAAAGTTGAAAATTTTCGTTGAATCCCTCGGGATTCGAACTTGGGCCTGCATGACAAAACCGTGGCTTTCAGCCACGATGTGACCGTTGGCATAAGCCAACAGGTATAGTCAGTAAAAGAAAAAAGAAAAGAAAAAAAAAAAAACTAAAACCTAAAGAGTACAGCGCCATATGGCGCCCTTGCAAGTACTGGGGCACTTCAGCCCTAGAGAACGTGACTGCGCCCGTAAAAACGGGCGACCATTTTTGGAAGGAAGGTAAGCATTTTCTCTTTTTTTTCTTCTGTCTTTTTTAGATTTTCTTCCTTTAGATTTATCTTGGATTTTCTTTAGTTAGATTTTCGTATTACATTCGTTTTTTCCTGCGTAGCACGGCGAACGTGTTCGCGCCCCTTCACGTTCGCGCGAACGTGTTCGCACATTCACGCAAACAGCTAGCGAACATGTTCGGGCGAACACAATTTTTTTTTCGACGAAACAGTTTGTCACAGCCCCTCGTTTGTTGTCCTCTTCTCTCTCTCTGCCTACGCTTTTACCGGGCAGTTCTGTTTGTGACGATATATATACAGAGTTGCCAGGCCGAACGTACGGAGGCCCCTAAGCTGACCCCCGAACGTTCGGGCGTTCGGGTCCCCGTACGGGGCCCGAACTCGAAGGGGTTCGGACCCCGCAAAAAATTATGTTGGTACCTAAAAATTGTTATCTTTTTCTGATTTTTTTTTTGTGAGTTCTCTGTTATGTAAGCTACCTCTCTCTCAATTTTGATGTCATTCTGTGGAGCCAAACAATAATGAAAAATCGGCAAAGATGGTGGTGTCAAAACTTGCTTTCCCACTTACTAATTTGTTTTTTTTCTCTTTTCACTTTTTGTTTTCCCTTTATTTCGCGGCCTGAGAAAAATTATCATTTTTTCAAACTTTATTTGTAGGTTCTCTATTATGTAAGATACATATGTATAAAATTTCATGGCATTAGACAAAGCCAAAAAAAAATGAAAAATCGCCAAAGGTGGCAGTGTCAAAAACTTGCTCGCACACGCAATAATTTCATTCTCGTTTTATTTTTTCGTATTTCCATTAATATTATTTATTTTTCGTATTTGATTTTTATTTCAAATTTGGTAAGGAATTTGGATGTACTGTTGAGGCAACTGTTGTTTAGTTTATTCTTCTGCATGACATATGTTTTTTTTCTTTGGAAACTTTTTTTTTTTTTTTTTT